GAGTGGGAGGGGAGAGAGCCCCCCCCCCCCCCCCATAGTTCTCTTTTAACCCTTTCAGCTCTTCAGCTCCGGTCCAGCTGGGAGAAGGCCAACTCTGCCGGCTTCTTGGCGCACCGTTCACCGATGCAATGCCTCCACCCGGAAGGTGATGTCTCTGACATTCCGGTAATGAGAAGGTTAAACCTGCAATAAGCCCACAAACAACAAAAAAATTGCGCAGCGTCCGCCCGGAGTAATGAGCGAAGTGACTGCAGCCGGAGAGTTAGATCTACTTCACTAGCTCAAAATTACTTTTATTCGCGAATGCAAAGCGTGATTGGTGCGCGTCCGATGGAGAGGGAAATGGCTGCCGGAACGTTGGAAGGTGAGGAGCGCAGCCCGGTGGCGGCGCTTATTAATATTCTGCTCCTGACGGGCGCACTTTGATTAATTAGCGGGGCTCTCGTATATCCGCTGGATGATGAGTCTGCCGCAGCTAATCGTGATTGAGTCGGGGGCCGGTCACAGCTCTCCCTGCGCTGCCAGGTGTCAAGTCTTTGTCACCTGAACGGGGGATCGTTAGAATTAAAATACGTTCGCAAATATCAGCACGCCGCGCTCGTATATATTGACGCCCAGTAGCAGCTCATCCCAGGTTACCAAATAACGGTAATAATATCCTAACAGCCGCAATTTACATTTCAAACGTATACCCATCAGGTTCAGCGCTCAACGGAACCGTCAGACCCGGGTTTCTGAAGGCCTATACACTGAGTGGCCGGATTATTATATTATTATTATTATTAATCCGGCCACTCGGTGTATATAATAATCCGGCCACTCGGGGTATATAATAATCCGGCCACTCGGGGTATATAATAATCCGGCCACTCGGGGTATATAATAATCCGGCCACTCGGGGTATATAATAATCCGGCCACTCGGGGTATATAATAATCCGGCCACTCGGGGTATATAATAATCCGGCCACTCGGGGTATATAATAATCCGGCCACTCGGGGTATATAATAATCCGGCCACTCGGGGTATATAATAATCCGGCCACTCGGGGTATATAATAATCCGGCCACTCGGGGTATATAATAATCCGGCCACTCGGGGTATATAATAATCCGGCCACTCGGGGTATATAATAATCCGGCCACTCGGGGTATATAATAATCCGGCCACTCGGGGTATATAATAATCCGGCCACTCGGGGTATATAATAATCCGGCCACTCGGGGTATATAATAATCCGGCCACTCGGGGTATATAATAATCCGGCCACTCGGGGTATATAATAATCCGGCCACTCGGGGTATATAATAATCCGGCCACTCGGGGTATATAATAATCCGGCCACTCGGGGTATATAATAATCCGGCCACTCGGGGTATATAATAATCCGGCCACTCGGGGTATATAATAATCCGGCCACTCGGGGTATATAATAATCCGGCCACTCGGGGTATATAATAATCCGGCCACTCGGGGTATATAATAATCCGGCCACTCGGGGTATATAATAATCCGGCCACTCGGGGTATATAATAATCCGGCCACTCGGGGTATATAATAATCCGGCCACTCGGGGTATATAATAATCCGGCCACTCGGGGTATATAATAATCCGGCCACTCGGGGTATATAATAATCCGGCCACTCGGGGTATATAATAATCCGGCCACTCGGGGTATATAATAATCCGGCCACTCGGGGTATATAATAATCCGGCCACTCGGGGTATATAATAATCCGGCCATAAGAGTTGGTGGGCAAGGGTCAGTATACGCCACTAGTAACTGACAACCTGGGGGGACGTTGGAACTCCCAGCCATAAGGAGGCTCAAATTGGAAAGTCTGACCATAGATCTGGGACATTGACTACGAAGACGTAGCAGTAGTTGGCCTGGTGTTAGTCATTCTTGGCCATAATAGTGGTGGGCGAGAGTCCATGTGAGGATCATCATTTTGGGAGCGAGATGTTCAACCTCCTCTATAACCCGTACACACGGCAGATACCGCCGGCAAGCCAGAGGCACCGGGCCCCGTGGAGACACTAGTAACTGACAACCTGGGGGGACGTTGTTGGAACAAATTGGAAAGTCTGACCACAGATCTGGGACATTTGATTGATTTCAGAGATGTAGCAGTAGTAGTATGGCCAAAAATGACTAACACCGGGCCAACTACTGCTACGTCTCTGAAATCAATCAAATGTCCCAGATCTGTGGTCAGACTTTCCAATTTAAACGTCATTTGGGCTGGGAGCTCCAACGTTTCCCCAGGTTGTCACTTACTAGTGGCGTATACTGACCCTTGCCCACCAACTCTTATGGCCAAGAATGACTAACACCAGGCTAAAGAGTTGGTGGGGGAGGGTCAGCATGAGATACTAGTAACTAAATGGCTTTCGATGGGGCTGGAAGTTAGTGTTGGCTCCTCTCCACGGGGCCCGGTGCCTCCTGGCTCGCAGGCGTTATCCGCCGTGTATACGGGTTATAGAGGCGGCTGAACATCTCGCTCCCAAAATGATGATCCCACAGCTTTGTTCCACACGTTTCCTGCTTTTTGTATTTATGTTCCTCTTGTGCAGTCGCGCTTCATGCAGTTTAAGCAGTTGTTTATTGCATTGCCATGTGAGCTGTAGTCCCTAAATCAAACAAGACATCTGTGTAATTATGCCAGAGAGTTAGTCTCCTCTAGAGGACCATGGGGAAAAGATGTCAAGAGTTGGAAGGTGGCCAAAATATATTAACCTTAAAAAAAAATCAAATAAGGGGGAAAAAAAAGCCAGCTAATCAATTTCCAGAGGCAAGTTATAGCCCAGCGGCTCCGAGGTGTGGGACATCTTCAGCCACGAGGTGGGGGAGGGGATGAGGGATGGAGATGGTAAACCCGTCACCTGAGTTCTTCTTGGAAACTTGCTGAGTTCACGGGCTGGAGGGGATTGTGGGTCCTCCTTTTGTCGGTATAGAGAGGATTCTGACCAATACACGTCATTTCTAATTATTCTAAATTATAAATGGGACGATATGAGCAGAGCAGGTCTAAAGCTTTTGGCTTGTGCATGAAGACCTTTACCCTCCTGCAGTGACCTGCATAGTGACCTCTGTGTGGACGTTTGCCTCCGCCGTGGACACCATAACCTCTGCCCCAGAGGTTCTAATCCTTTTACAATTACAGCCTCTCCCCCC